TCTCACATTTTTGTTGTACGTTTAGTGTGTAATTCCCCATAATAGACATTTCTTTCCACTTTAAATGAATGTAGTGACGAAGCTTCTGTACTATGATTGAGTACATCCACCCAGTTCACTTCCTAGACTAGGAACGCTTCAACTGAAGTAGCCGAGGATAAACTGGGGTCTATTGTGCTGCAGTCCTTTTCCAGGCAGGTATCGTCCCCTCTGCCTATTCCGCTGCACTCCTTCTTCCTGGCAATTTACTTATTTCTCTTTAGTCCTTCTTCCACCTCTACCTGCAATGTGATTACTTTTGTCTTTATAAAGACACTTGCGGCTCTCAGGCTTTGCTCTCTTGATTTATCCCAGAGCTAGAAGAATCATGCAGCCAGCCAACAGGTACAAGAACTCTGTGGCTGGGAGCACTAAAAATCCACACAGGACACACAGTTCCAAAAGGAACTAACATACAAAGCTTTATTTTTACTATGGACTAGCCCATATGATCATTAACCCCTTAAATCCGGAGGGCGTACTATTACGCCCTGCAGGAGCCGGCTCTAAACGCCGGCGGGCGTAATAGTAAGCCCTCACTTTAATGGCCGCCCACGTGGCCGGCGCTATTCGCCCGCTGCAGATCGCGGTCGGGGGGGATGCCCGGCCCCCCAGGCAACCCCCCCTGTGGCCGGTGACCGCGATCTGCAGTCACTGATCGCAGTGACAGGCTGTCACTGCGATCAGTTTTTAACGTGTGTCAGCCGATTTCAAATCGGCTGACACACGTGGCCAGCGGCTCTTCCCGTGCAGATCGCGGTCGGGGGACTTACCTGGCCCCCCAGGCAGTCCCCCTGGGGTCAGTGACCGCGATCTGCACCTTCTGGCTGTCACTGCGATCAGTGTTACATGTGTCAGCCTACTGGCTGACACATGTAACTGGCACAAGGATCCCCCTGCAGATTGGAAGGGGGGAGTGCTTGTACCACCCAGGCACTCCCCCCTGTGGCCAATTACCCAATCTGCAGGAGGTGATCACAGTGACAGGCAGTCACTGTGATCACTGATCCTGTGTGTCAGCCAGTGATGTAAAATCACTGGCTGACACTGTCTCTGCCCCCTGTCCTGTAAAAATAAATAAAATATTAGTAAAAAAAAAAAAAATTACAGTTAAATATAAAATATACTTAGATCATATATATATATATATATATATATGATCTAAGTATATATATATATATATATACACACACACACACACATTTACACATACACGAAGTGTATTTAAATATTAATATATATAATTATTTATATATATATTACTATCAAATTACACGTAGACTAATACTGATTAAATATATATATATATAATTATTGTTATATATATATATTTATATATAATATAAAAAATGTAAATACGTAAAAAAATAAAATTAAAAAAATAATTAAAAATAAATAATAAAAAAATATATAGATGTTTGTTATTTCGTTCTAACTGTATTGTGATATTATATATATATTTATATCAAAATACACGTAGAACGAATATATATATATATCTATATACATAAATATATACATATATATCACTAAATATATACACCTATATATAAATAAAAATATTTAAAAAATTATATATATATATATATGTATATATACACATATGTATATATATACATATATTAATTCTACACATATATTTATGTAATATTTTTACATAATTAGGTATCCTAATTAATTACAATTAGCGGGACCTGCCTGACAACCCATGCCGAAAGTATAGGGAATTTAATTTGCTAGCACTATATTTAACCCTATAACTTTCCAAGACACCATAAAACCTGTAAATTGGGGGTACTGTTTTACTCGGGAGACTTCGCTGAACACAAATATTAGTGTTTCAAAACAGTAAAATGTATTACAACAATGATATCGCCAGTAAAAGTGAAGTTTTTTGCATTTTTCACGCACAAACAGCACTTACACGGATGATATTATTGCTGCAATACTTTTTACTGTTTTGAAACACAAATATTTGTGTTCAGCGAAGTCTCCCGAGTACAACAGTACCCCTCATGTACAGGTTTTATGGTGTTTTCAAAAGTTACAGCGTCAAATATAAGGCTTGTGTTTCATTTTTTTTCACATTAAAATTCGCCAGATTGGTTACGTTGCCTTTGAGACCCTATGGTAGCCCAAGAATGAAAATTACCCTATGATGGCATACCATTTGCAATAGTAGACAACCCAAGGTATTGCAAACAGGGTATGTCCAGTCTTTTTTAGTAGCCACTTAGTCACAAACACTGGCCAAAATTGGCGTTTTTTTGCAATTTTCACACAAACAGATACTAACGCTAACTTTGGCCAGTGTTTGTGACCAAATGGCTACTAAAAAGACTGGACATACCCCATTTGCAATACCTTGGGTTGTCTACTATTGCAAATGGTATGCCATTATGGGTGTAAATTTCATTCCCGGGCTACTATAAGTCTCAAAGGCAACGTAACCAATCTGGCGAATTTCAATTTCAAATGTAACGTGCTATATTTGACCCTGTAACTTCCCAAAACGCCATAAAACCTGTACATAGGGGGTACTGTTTTACACGTGAGACTTTGCTGAATACAAATATGTGTATTTTATTGCAGTAAAAGCAAACAGTATTATGACACTGACCGTTAAAATGTCATGTAGAACTAAAAAAATCAAAAAAAATCGTATTTTCTCCCATTTTTTTCATATTAAATTATGTTTCATAGCTAAATATTTGATATTAAATGAAAGCCCTGTTTCCCCTGAATAAAATGATATATAATAAGGGTGGGTGCATTTACTATGAAAGAGGTGTATTACGGTTGGACAGACATGTAGCGCAAATGCCAGGTTTTGTTTACATTTTGTTTCGTTCACACTGTGTACATTTGGCTCCGTCCTTAAGGGGTTAAAGCTTACGGTGACACACTCTAAAAAATACATAAAGCCAAATCATGTGAAAAAACATATAGGCACTCATAATAATACATAAACATAATAATAAAGGGGTGGGGAAGACAATAACTAACATGAAATATCTCTCCAGCCTAAAGAAATTATAATATGCAAATCTACCTGAATATGCAAATTAGCAAGCCTTGTTATTCAGGTAGTGCTTATTACGGTTACTACTAACAGGTGGCGCTGTAAGCCAAATCCACTTGGTAACACGCTTCAGCATGACAGAGGAGCACACAAAACATAAAACTAGGAAATTAGAGTAATAAAAGAAAAACTTATTTAAACCTACAGATGCCAACAGTTTTATCCATGCAAAAAGTAGTCACCATCCTAAATGGCTTTGGGGAGTCCCAAGATTGAAAAGGAATTGTACTGACAAAAGTCATTTTTTAGAGCAAACTGAAATTTTTAAAAATACATTTCTTGAGAAGGGCTATTCTAAGTCCTTCTTAGAAAATGAGATCAAATATGTAAATAATCTTCATTGAAATAATTTCTTAATTGACAAAAATACTAATACCCCCCCCCCACCCCGTGATTAAAAAAAAGGTTTCGAGTTTTCATTTATAACAATGGGCATGATTTTAAGATTTAAAAAAATATCCTCTTTTTGGAAGACAAGTTTAAAAAAAAACAATTACCCCACATTAACAACAGTGATTTTTATTTAAAAAAAAGTATACATTTTTAAAACACCCTAGCATCAAGTAAAGTATGTTGAGGATGCAAGATAGACAAGAACCATTCAATCAAGTATTTTTTTAATGTTGTTTTTGTAAGGGGTGTTGTTTCTTACCAAGAAAGTGTCTTAATTTTATAAGCGATAAGACTGGAGTTTTTTTTTTTTTCATTTTTTATTTGTATTTATTTCTTTTTATATATTTTTTATTTTTATTTTTATTCAGTTTAGATTTGTTCATTTTATTTTTTTTGTATTTCCTCTCTCTACTTGAACAAAATATTTTTTTCATATTAAAGATCTTTGTATTGTCATATCTTAAATTCATATTTATTGTTATAAGGATTTTATAGTATTATTATGGATACCCTTGGGTATCGCCACTTCCGATTGACTGATGGCAAATTGGGCAATGCAAAAACGGACTCTTAAACTGTGCCAGGACTACGAAATTCAGATGAACTTGTGAATTTCCCTGAGACAGTCTGAGTATGGCCAAAATGCATAGGGTGGGAGACCCACCAGTGTTTTACTTTGATTTACTGTATTTCAGTGTTTTTTAGAGTTGTCATTACATTTTATGTTATTCACCATTTTCCCTGTTTTCCTGTTACTTGTTACCAATCTGGTTTTCCAGGCTACAGACCCAAAGAATTGTGATATGCCTTTTACCACAGCTCCTTTTGTGAGGACAATGTTAATAGAGTAGTTTGTATTGTTTAAATTGCTACAATATGTGGATGTCTATCTTATTTTCCTGCATATATTCAGTTTGAAGAAAGAAGATTCTACTGACACAGTTTTGATGTGCCTGCTATCAATTTTATTTTTGTGAGGGCAATACATTCACATTCCATTCCTTATGGTATCTTACAGTATTATGCTATTGGCATTCCTTTAGTTTTTTTTTCTGAATATATGTACCGTATATACTCGTGTATAAGTCGATCTCATGTATAAGTCGAGTGCAGTTTTGTGACCAACAATTGTGAAATATGCTATGCCTCGTGGATAAGTCGAGGGTAAAACTTGGGGCTATGAAATTCTGTGATTTTTATAATTATATACACACACACTCATACAAACACACACTCTGCATTATATACACACACACACTCATACAAACACACACTCTGCATTATATACACACACTCTGTGTATATAATGCAGAGTGTGTATATAATGCAGAGTGTGTGTTTGTGTAGTGTGTGTGAACTGGGTGGGGGGAGGGCATTTTTATTATTTTATTTTTTTTATTTTAATATTATTTTTTTATTATTTTAATTTTTTTTTGTCCCCCTCCCTGCTTGTTAACTGGTCAGGGAGGGGGGCTATCTTAATCCCTGGTGGTCCAGTGGCATGGGCTGTGAAGTGGGGGGGCCGGCAGGAAGCATTTACTTACCTTTCCTGCAGCTCCTGTCAGCTCCCTTCTCCTCCGTTCCGGTCAGCTTCACTGTAAGTCTCACGGTCTGGTTGCCGCACGGATCGTTGCCATGGCTCTGACGGCCACGGCTCTCTAAGTTGCCATAATACAGACAGTGACTCGAGTATAAGTCGAGTGGGGGTTTTTAAGCACAAAAAATGTGCTGAAAAACTAGACTTATACTCGAGTATATACTGTATATGTATATGTGTTTATTCAGAAGATCCAGAGGAATCTTCTTACTTCTACAGTTATTTTAAAGGTTTTGTATTTGACTATTTTTTATATATATCCACTATTGGTGTACATCCTTGGTTCCAGTTTGTTTTTGGTGTTAAATCACAAGAGGTGTCTATGTCTTATGAATCTCCTTAAATCTACAAATCTTTTACTGAAAGAATGGAGATATTTAGAAATATCGTGGTGGGGTAAGAGTCATGTTATAAATTCATTTATTTTACCAAAAAGGGACTACCTCTTTCAAATGATCCCTTTAAAAGTTCCAGATATTTGGCTTTCCCTCTTACAAGCCTCCTTTTCCTCCTTTATATCAAAAGGAAAAAAACTTAGGATAAGTAAAATAATTCTATCTCAAAGACCGGAAGATGGAGGTATAAATTACCGAAATATTAGATTTCAATACTTGGCTAATGTAATATCACACGTTTATAGAATTCCAACCCAAAATGCTTCCAGGGAAAAATGGTATAAGATAGAAGCGGAGGCTCTTGGGCTAAAAGATCTCAATGGACTTATTTGGAATATTCAAACAAGAAAAACGCAGAGGATTTTGATAGAAGAGAGTACATTATTTAAACAAGTAATTTCTACTTGGCTTGGAATTAAGAAAATTTTGGGTGTGCATAACACGGTATTAGAGCTTTTAGATATAGTGGCTATAGAATTTAATGTTGAAGATCTGGTTTTAGCCAATTGGAAAATTTAGGGAATATATCAAATAGACCAGATTATACAACAAGGCAAAGTAATAACTTTTGCAGAATTAGCTCAAACATATCATCTTTCTAATTCCAAAATTTTTACGTTCCTTATAACTGCAAAACATTTTTACAAAAACATCTAATAAAAATAAGTCCAAGTTAGCTAAAACTTTAAAAAAGATTTTTAATAGTAAAACAGTACCAAAAGTCTTAACTAAAGCTACTGACCTAATTCGGGTACTAAATTATATGGAGAATACCCCCCAGAAAAGACAATGTGAAAGAGATCTTGATTGTACTTTAGATCATGATAATTGGTGCAAATATTTTAATAACATACGTAAACAAGTTCAAAGCATAAATTTAATTGAAATACAATATAAAGTTTTTATAGATGGTACTTGGTCCCGGTTAAGAAGGCAAAGATGTATCAAAATGAATCCTCTATTTGCTGGCGGTGTCTTAAAAAAGAGGGTACTTTTTTGCATATTTGGTGGGGTTGCTCTAAAATTAAAAGGGCCTTGAAGATGCTTTTTCAGTTTATAAGGGATAATGCTAAGGTAAACTTGGATAGTCATCCCGCTGTGGCTTTATTACACATGTATTTGCCTAAGATGTCTTGGAAAAATCAAAATCTAATTACCCATTGTTTTGTTGCTTTTAAAGTGATTATAGCTCATAAATGGAAGCGCAATACTGATATTACCTGGGATCCAGTTAAAACTCAAATCCTGAAACAAATTAGCACGGAAAGGGATTTGAGCTTAACATATTTAAATTCGCGCAAGAAATATAGTGCCTTGCCCAGACTGAGGAACCAAAGGTTACAAAGTAAAAATAAGATATAAATACTGGCCCTGTAGCATTATAAAGAGAAGGAGAAATAAGTTAGTCCTAGGTTTGTGTTGTGTCCCCCATCACACATCGGAGTCTATGTCTTGTAATGTAAGGTTATGTCTTTGTGTATATTGATTTGATGAATTTCATGATGAAACTAGGTTAATCTTATTGGATATATAAAGAAATTCAATGTTAATATTTTATATGTATTATCTTTGAAAACAATAAAAAATATATAATAAAAAATAAATCACAAGAGGTGTCAAAGATACACAGCCATGCAATTAACCCCCAGCAGCAAGCCCAGTAACATATAATCCCAGCCCAAGGTGTAGCAACTCTGCCGAAAATGGAGGCCAACAGCTACTAAAATAGCAACCAGAAAGAAGGGGCAGAGTTTATATGGTCCCAGCGATGGTAACTACCTTCATAACAGCTTTTTAGGCATTGTAACAAGCCTATACTCTTAAATTCTCCTTGTGATGATGTCATGAAATGTCACTTGCATTGCAGTTTTAATGTCTTTATTTCTAAAACTATATATTATTGGATTTAACATGGGTATCAGCACAGCATAAACAAAAGTAGCTCCAACCTCGTTTTCTGAAGAGTATTTGGATTTTGGACTTAAATAGGCATAGAAAATTGTACCATACAATAGGGTAACGGAGATGATATGAGACACACAAGTTGAAAAAGCTTTTCTTCTGCTTTCTTTTGCTTTTATCTTTATGATGGCCAAGTAGATGGAAATGTATGATGTAAGGATGATCAAGAAAGGAGTAACTGTTAGTAATGATGATAAAATAAACTGTGGAAGCTCATTTGCTGTTGTATCAGTGCAAGATAAACGTAGTAATGAATGAAAATCGCAAGCAAAATGATGGAGGATATTTGAGGAGCAGAATGAGAGGCTGAATGTGTAGCAAGTCTCGAATACTGAGTGCAGGAAACCAATAGTATAAACTCCAGACACTAGTTCCCAGCATGTCCTTTGCTGCATTAACAAACTGTAGTTTAAAGGGTTGCATATTGCAACATGACGATCGTAGGCCATTACAGCAAGGAGGCAACATTCAGTGCTACCAAAGGTGCAGAAGAAGAAGAATTGCACTGCACATCCAACGTAGGAGATAGTCTTCTTCTCAGAAAGAAGAACTGCTATCATTTGTGGAACAATATTTGTAGAATAGCAGATGTCTAAACATGACAGACTACTGATAAAATAGTACATGGGAGTGTGAAGTTGGGTATTATAATACACAAGAAATATTATCTCTGCATTTCCTAAAACAGTAAACATATACATTAATAGAAATAGAAAGAATAAAACTGTCTGTATGTCATGCCTCTCTGAAAAGTCCATTAGTATAAATTCATTCACTCTGGAGCTGTTGATGATTTTTGACATTTGTGATAGCTGAAATGCACACACAAATATAGTTGTGTATTCATGAAAGTATTTAGAGAGAAATATTTGTGTGTTTTTACATGAAATTTCCAACAACTGAACACAGAGTTATTGAATACTACATACACCCCAAAAATAAGTAATCCCAGAAAAGCATTTATTTTCAGAATTAAGACACCATACCAAATGACATGTAAATTATGTTATATATTTATTTTTGCAAATATAATTTTCAGACTTTTTATTTAGGCAATTATTTTATGTCTTACAACAATAAATAAGCAAAAACTTGAATTTGTTTGCTCAGTTTTAAAAAGGCCTGCGAGCATCTCAGTAATGCTTTTTGGTGAAGTATAGACAACATTCAAATACATACCAAGACAGCCACTATAAACGCTCCCTGCAGCTTCGAGGAGGTTGACTCTATGAAACGATGCTAGATGTCCTCACTCTTTGCACGAGGAAGTCCAGCGTGTTAAAACCCCCCATTGAAAAAAAAAAAAAACATTTATTCAGTGCTTTCCTATAGGGAAGTCCTAAGGTGCATGCATCCTGGATCCCAGAATACTGGCTTTCTAAAGTTAAATTCCTCATGGGTGATTAGTATCTATAATTAAGTGAAAGTATGTTTCAAAGGAAACAATGCTATTTGGACATAATACAAATGTGATCAGAAATAAATTTAAAGATCAAATATTAGAAAACTGCCCTGAACTCTGATTACAAGGTGCAAAAAATACTCTTTACTTTTAAACTTGTTCTCTCTCTCTTTTTTTTTTTTTAAAACACCCTGAAGATGGATTTATCTAGTACTGTCTACAGCAATACCATTATATGTATACAAAATAAACGTGACTTTTTTCATAAAGGTGGCATTTACTACATTGTGGTACGTTAGACAAAACAAATATAAATTTACATCTACAGAAAGTAAGAGCATGGCTGATTTAATCTACCAGTGAGAGACAGATAAGGACACAATGGCAGGAAGTCGAAAGTTAACATCTTTAGTAAGAAACATAAACAATAAATCTAATAAAATCATGATTATCCAGAGTGTGGTTTTGTAACTTCTAACTAGGTAATGAAATAAAATATGAATCTTGTCCCATTGCCTGACAATTAGAAACGTGTGATCATTTAAACTGTATATTATATTGACTTGGAAATACCAAATACAATGAAGTCTATAATAGGCATTACATTAAAAAAAAAAAAAAAACACAATGTGTATCTTTATTGTCAATTTACCACTATGCACTGTTGAGTGAATATAATAGAAATCAATCATTTTCTTTTGCTATAGCATTTACAAATCAAGAGACAAGTACAATGCAAAGTCTTACTTACAGTTAAATCAGCAGCTTGTAAACACGTTACATGAATTAGAGGGACTTTTCTGATGATTCACAGAAGATTCAGGATGTATTTAAGCACTGCTGCCTCAATGAGGGAATTGTACCCACAGTAATTAAACACACTTTGCAGTCAAAGACAAAAAACAACTTATTAAAATAAAATGCTTATTTTGAATGCAAAATAACTAGTATGATGAAATCTAGTAGCAATAATATAATAAATAAATAAATAAATAATACAATAACTTTGCAAAAGTAAAGGGCAACTTTGCAAAGCTATAAGAAATGTATGAAAGGATAAGCAGTATAGCAACCAGCAACTGTATGTTTTATGATGCCTCTGTGCAGGTATAAAACTGTTGCAATCTACCAACTTCCAAAAGGTCTTTGTATGTAGAATGTGTTCATTAATATAAAATGCCAGGTCCAAATATGTAATTTTCTTTTTTGACTGATTGCAGGTAAATTTCAGATTATAGGGACTGAAATTAAGATATTCTTTAAATTTCTCAAGAACATCCAAGTCTCCCATACAAATGAAGATGCAGTCATCTATATATTTTCTCCAAAGGACTAGGTTTGCCCCGAATG